TATCAAATAACCAATAAAAGTTTCAGCTGATGGCATTGTATCAATAAAAAAAAAAAAAAAAAAAAAAAAAAAAAAAAGATAGTAGCTTTGATCTTCTCTAAAACACCTATAGTAGAAGTAGATAAACTTATAGCATGACAGTTCTTGAATTGTGATCATTGATTACTAGTTGTAACTTCATCATTAGTATCTTCATCTTGGCTTGCAACTTTATCTAATTTATCATTTAATAAATTTGTATAATATTTATCATCTTCGTTTTTAGGTAAAGCTATAGTTTTTTTAAGGTAATGCATTGTATGACAGACTATATTAAGAGTAGCATATATTACACCTGATAACATTTTGGTTGCTTCATAAAAAGGAGCTAACAAAGCTAATACGTCAGAAAGTAAACTATAATAATCGATGCAATTTAGTTACTAAATATTATATATAATTAAATTAAATATATATTTGCAAATATTTTATTTATACAATTATTTATTTTATGATATGTAACAAATCTAGTTAACTCTCTATAACGAACTCTAAATTCTGAATAAAATCAGTTTGCTATATAATATTTACTATATTTGTTTTAAAAAAATATCTTTTTTTTATATTAAACTAATATTAAAATTTAAAAATTTTTATTTCATTATATAGTCAACTTTTTCTATAATAAACTGTTAGTTCTGGCTATTAAAAAAAGTTCACTATGAAGATCTAGTGATCTTAGTATAGTAGTTAGGTTGCCAGACTGCTATACAAGAGGTCTGAGGTTCAAATTCTACTGTTGACGAATTTGAATAATTACCCAGACCTTTGTACCTAACTTATGGTAAACTCTGTTCATTTCTGAGGTTGTAACTCTGTAAATCATATTGCACCAATATTATCTGGATATTAGAAGTGTGACAAGGTATTTGGCGAGATGTAATGTTATATAAATAAATCTTGATAGGATCTATAAACAGGAGACCTGCATAGTAGAAATCCCAAGTTGATGAAGTAGTATGGCCTTCGATAGTCATACCAGCTAATACTTGATTCAGAAAGAAAACTATTGACAAAAGATGCAGATCAAGTCAGATGCGCATAAATCTGGTTTGCAGAGAGAATCAGTAATACCAACCTGGCTTGGTAGCTAACTGGATTAGGAGGATCTGCCTTGTGAAACATCCGAGAAGATAGAATACAGAAAACTAGTAGAGAGCCATGGTAGAAACTGGAGTTGTATGAACATCTACAAAGGTCTAAACTAGGTGAATTTGTAAAATAGGTACGAACTACTCTAGTAGGTATGCTTCGAGATTAACTGGCTCTGTGATATCTACAATGTGTTAAATACAATATATTCCAAGAAGACCTAAGCTGTTCTGAATAAATAGATCTGTAACGAGTTAGCTGGCTTAAACAGTTACATGTTGTGGTGATATTAGGTTGAATCTGCATAGGTTAATGAATAGAGTGTTTAAATAGGTAACTCACAGGTAGGTTACAGGTATAGCAGCATAGTGTAGAACCAATCAGGTGGTCTAATTGCCTATGTAGCAGACTAATTAAATTAGACAATGACAAAAGTTGTATGTGTAGTTTGTTGTATACTTTTTATGTAATTACAAACAGTAGGGATTATCAATATATATCCTATATGCAATTCTAATAAAATTCCTCTGGCAATATAAGCCACCTTAATAACAAAAAAAAAAAAAAAAAAAAAAGTTCACTATATAAAACTACTATATTTTTTTAAGAAACTATAGCCCTTTTTATACTGAACTATTATAAAATTCAAAATTTTTTAGTTCATTATATCCAGAGTTCATTATATAGAGATTCAGTATAAAAAGAGTCAACTGTATCCAGTATTCATTACAGAGAGGTTTGTTATATTTAGAGTTGACTGAATGTTTTTTTTTATAATTACTTTTTTAGAATCTTTTGCTAATTTTTTTGTTAATTATAAAATTGTTCTAATACTATAATTAGATAACTAAAAATTTACTTCCATTCTGAATTTGTCAAATTAATTCATTCTAAATATTTAGCATCCTCTTTATCACTTTTTTCTGAAGAAATTTTTAAAACTATACCAAGATAGATTATAGTATTTTTTAGTTCAAGCAAATATTTCCAGGCAAAATAGGTAGAATTCTACCTTGTTATAACATCTAAAAAAACTTCATAAACTGTTAAATAGTTTAATTTATGTTGTGTATCTTTAAGGTTTTCAGTTTGCTTAGAGCTACCATTAAAGTATAAAATAAGATTAGTTATATACTTTTTAAATGCTTTAGCTGCATTAAAACCTTTTAATATACTAAAATATAAAGTATGCACTGAACATGGGAAATATGAAATTTCTATTAATTGAATTGCTTTTATAATTTTTTTTCTATTATCTGTAATAGTGGCGAATAATTTTTGCTTTAGTTAAAACTGGTCTATAATTTGAGTTATAGTATTTTTAATATTTTTACTAGTATACCTTCCTTGGATTTTTTTACAAGCTACTAATCTCTCTTTTAGTATTCAATCTTTAGGATCTAACTATCCAGCTATAATATCAATATATAGTTCATCATTATGTGATGAACATAAATCTGTAGTAATACAAACAGAACAAATATCTTGCAATATTTTGATCAGTTGATTGAGTGAATATATCATTTATAATATGTTATACTTTATCATCACCAGAAAGTTTAAAACCAGAAACTACTACTTTCAAAAATGATTTAAATGATTCATTTTGCAAAAGATAGAATAGTTGACAATCATCAATTATCCAAGTTATCATAGTAGTTTTAATTTCTAGCTATCTTCTAGAAGAAATCTTTTTATGAGCAACTTTCATAAAAGCTTCAATATTTCTATCTTCAATCTAAATTTATTATTAATTTATTTATTATATAATAATTAAATATAGTTAAAAAAAAAAAAAAAACTTATATAACCTATTTGATTATCTTTCGTAATTCTATATTTGTTATATAAATAGTATATCATATTACTCATAGTACCATAAAATTTGTACTTCACACTCTTTCCTTTTCTTCTATATATCTTGCATTCAGCATAAATTTTATCTTGCAAAACTTTGAAGTGATGCCATATATAACTTCTGTTTTCACTATTTAAACTTTCAATATTAATATGAGTTTCTTGCTCTTAATCATTAGTATTGTTATTTTCTATATATATACATTTTCGAGAATTATTATCATTACTTTTACCTTTGCTTTTGTCTTTGTTTTTGTTACTTGTAAGTGCTATTTTTTTTTAAAAAAAAAAAAGCTTATGATAAACCTTTTAAAAATAATAGAATTTTGATTTTTTTTTTTTTATTTAAGTATACCGAATTGTCTTATATTATAGACATATACTATTTCAAGTTAATTATAGATTATGACCTTATGACCTGTTATGACTTATAAAATTTACTAATACATTATGACCACTTTGGTCATATAAAGTTAGATATGATCTAAAATGGCCAACACTGATTTTAAGTATCTGATTATACAGTATAAAGTAATTTTTTTTAAATTATTTAGTAACTAAGTATGCTAAATTACTAATATAAGATTGTATATATTCTACTTAAAGTTTCTGTTCTGTATAAAGTATCTTAGATTGTTATTTTCTATTTAAATTACTACATGTAAAAAAAATTTTAATGTTAAAGCTTGATAAAGACCTAGCAAAAGCTTGATGAAGACTTGATAAAAAGTTTATTTAGGAATTATTGCTAATGCTAATATATGATTCAGATTATTAAGTATTAATATTGTCTTAGATTATTGTATATCTTAATGAATTTAATCTGAATAGCATGTACTAATAGGTCTTACCTCATGAATATATAACATAGTTAAGATTTCTTTTTTTAATTTTTTTTTTTCTAGCCAATATTAATAACACCTTTACTACTTCTATATATACATTTTTTCTTTACAGTTTTTTACATAGTTTGCATTATTTATTTGAAAGAAGAATCTAATTTTATGAGCGCTAACCTTTTTATATAATTTTATTAAAGTTTAATTGATGACATATTTTTATGCAAACTAAATAAACTATATATATTTAATCGTTATACAAATTATTGTTACTATAGTACTAATATCAATAGGTACGTACTGTATATAAAAATTTTGTATTAGACATTAATGCTAATACTATCAGCTTAGTAATGCAATTTTACAGGTTAAGATATTGATAAAAGTTTATATAATTATATATTACATATATTATTGGCCTTGGTATTATATGATTTTATAAGTAAATAGATAGATTTAATTTGGTTTTATAAATATATTATTTGAATATAATAAATTATTTGAATATAATAAATTATTT